AAAATTTACATGTTGAGTTCATACTAATGAGGAAAAGTCTGCATGGGCACACATGATAAAAATCATTGGGAATCTATATATAAGCAGAAGGGAGAAGAGGTGGCACATGGTTCTAAGAGGCTGATGGTCCTGACTGCAAAGACGGAGCGTTTCAGAGTGGAGGTGCTCACTGTAGTCTCTGCAATTCTTCCTTTTCTTTTTCATTGTTGCCTATTTTCTTCTCCCACATCCCAGATAATTTGCAGCAGATGATTTCTTTGTATAGCTTTTTAAAAAAATTGCAGGATAAATGTGGATGTAGCCCACATTATTTGAAGGAAACCAAATCTCCTACGGTCATCATTTGATAACCCTCAGGCTCAAACCCACTGCTTTTCCCTAAGTCTTTTATATGCTTGTGATTGCCATGAGAAAGCCCTGCTAAGTACAGCAGACCTATGGATGCTTTCAGTTCAGCTGGTGAGGTGTCATAACAAATACAATTTTGAGTATGACTATTGGTGTATACAGAATGTTTTACTTGTATTTCAGCATTTGTGTATTTCACAACATCTTGGAGCATTTCATCTGTTACACTTTCCAACACTGAATGGTAGCTGGCATTCCCTCTAACAGGATTCACCTCTGCCAAGATCCTCACTACATTTTTGGACCCCGTTCTAACACTGGATCATTCCATTTGGTTGTGTGACCATTTGTATCATTTCTCTTAGTTAAAGATGCACTCACATTGTCATTTTCTTCATCATCTGAATCAAGGAGGTCTGCATTCCCTGTATTTGTATCAGTTGATTCTTGCTCAGTTTCACAGTCACAGGAACTTTGGCGCACAATCATTAGTACATGAATGATCTGATGATTCACTTTAGACCTTCTCCAAAACTTGCAACATTGGTTTTTCATGTGGCATTGTACTGAATCAAGCTACTTCCACCAGAAAAAAATCAAAAGAACACTTAAAAAATCTGTTGCTCCTTTTGATCTTCTGTGCACACCTTGCTGTTCATTTGCCAGGTGGGTGACTGCACAGGTGGGTTTGTGCTTTCCCCAGGCACAGCTCTAAAAGTCACAGTCACATTCCATTCATAGTAAAATGCATGTTTACAAAACAGAAGAGTGTGTGGGTGTATTTTACCCCTGTGATGCTGAGATAAACATCCATAAAACCTGTTAGGTGAGTCATCATGTGAGTAACAATCCCAGTTTGACATTTTTGTACATGTATATACCTTGCCATTTGTCATACTAAGTGGGTGAACATGAAGACTGTTCCCTGTATTCCCAGGTACAGCTACTGAGACACACATCCAGCTACTACTGTGCTAAACTACAAATTTACAGTGGAAAAGCATGAGGTGGCTTGTTGCAGCCCGGTGTTACGGCCTGTGTGTAATAAAGCCCAGAACTTGCTCTAACCACTCCTGGAGCTGGACATTCCTCTGTGGTAAGCAGAGTCTGGAGTGTCAGAGTACATGGGCTCAAAAATGAGTTGGCTAAGGAGAAATGTCTGACACTGTACTCTAATGTCAAAGGCAAGTTATCCAGCTTTTGTGTGACTCAGTTTCCTTTTCTGTAAATCAGGGACCATAATATTTCAGAAGTCTGCATGAAAATTAAGTATGTTGATAAATGTAAAGTGCTTAGAGCAGTTCCTGGGGGCTGCAGATTTAGCTCAGTGGTGTAAGTGCCTACCTGGCAAGAACAAGGTTGTGGGTTTGATCCCCTGTACCAAAAATTACAAAACAATGTAAAATATCATTTTAGTAATGATTAACTTTGTACTGATGACTCCTAAATTTCTATCTCTATTTAATTTTCTTGATTTTAATGATTATTTAAAATTTTGTTGAAAAGCAAAATGAAATATTTTACCTTTATTAATACATGCTTGCAGAACACTATGATTCCATTCATTGTGGGGAACTGGTACATAACACATTACGATTACCTTTTTTCTCCTTCCCCTTCTCCACTTCCTCCTTTTTTTTTTCCAGTATCAGATTCATTTATTTATAAGTATTTATTTATTTATTTATTGTCTTTTCTGTGTATGTGTGTGTCTTTTTTTATAACTTTTTTTAAAATAAAGGGTCTCTTTATGCAGTTCAGTATGGCCTGAAGATCACTTTGTAACCCAGGCTGGTCTTGAACTTGCAATGAGCTTCCTGCTCCAGCCTCCCAAGTTCTGGGATTACAGGTGTGTGCCACCACAATCAGCTATAAATCCTTATAAAGCTAATTGTCATACATATCAATTAATAGCCAGATGAATAGACCAAAAATCATATAGATTCGGCTTACATTTTTTTTTGTTCTCAGAATCAAACCCAGGACCTTTTGCTTGCCAGACAGGCACTGTGCTGCTGAGCTATATCCCCAGTTCCTAAAAATATATATAAAACACGAGACAATTATACTAAATCAATGTATATTTTTTGATACATTGGCCATGCTGGGTTATGGTAACTTTTCTCTCTCTTTTCCTATTGTCTGTGGTTTATTTTGCACTTGATATTGAGTTTCTCATATAGAAATAATTAAGCTTATGTATCTGATTTACTTCACTTAACGTTGTGGTCTTCTTTTTCATAAAAACCGTCCTATATCCACCCTCCAGGTACTCAGTTCCCACTGTGTGCTGGGTGTTGACTCTTCCCTCCACCACACATTCTGCCCTGAGACAGCCCTCTACAGACTGAACACAGGGGCCAAGGGACCCTCTGCTCTGAAGTGGGTGGTGCCAGGTGCTGTGTCCGGGGATGACAAAATGACAAGGACACTTGTGCTAATGTCACACTCTTGTGGTTCTTGAGTGTCAGAGCTGGTCTGGGCTGAAAGGCAGAAGGAGTAAGTATCTGGGACAGTCCGTGAACCTTCTACAGTAGCAGGCTTTATCCTGCTTTGATCATATACACCAGAGTAAAAGATATGTGAGCAGACTCCCATGTAAGAGGTTTTAAATTTATAAATTACATATACACCTATCTGTATCAATACATTACATATGTTGCAAAAGATAAAAAATCTGTAAATAGAAAAAACCAAGACAAAATAAAAATACTTAAAAAAAACTAACTTAATTTACTTAATAATAGTACACCAAATCTTTTTGTACTTGAACTTGAGTTTCATATTGATGTCTGAGCAGTGGCTTTTTAAACACCTTTCAAATTAAATCAACATCATACTATCACTAGTTAATGCCAAAAACTAAAATATACATTTAGGTTTGAATTCGTTATTTATTTATTTACTTGTCTTTTTGTCTCAGGGTCTCACTATGCAGGTCAGGCTGGCCTTGAGCTCACTTTGTAGCCCAGGCTGGTCTCAAACTTGCAACAATCCTTCTGCCTCAGACTCCTGAGTGCTGGCACTCAGACATGTACCTGGCTTTATGGAATTTTTATTTTTAATGTTTTTGTCCTACCTCTTACTAAAAACTGATGGGAGAGCTCCTTCAACACTTTCTTGTTTTTAAAAATTCGTCTGGCATTATAAATGTTATCATCTACCCAGGGTCTATTTTCAGAACTGCTTTTCAAGCTGTTCCCCACTAATGAGTATTGATTTGATTAAAAATAGACAACAGAATCTGTAAATCTGCATAATCAAGCCAGGAAAGGTGGACACATTGTGACATTCAGAAAACAACAGGCACACACAAGCCTGCCGTTGTCTGACCATGGCAGAGCCTGCCAGCTGGAATCCTTATGAACCAGGAGGCCCATTTACTAAGTTCTTATAAAATGCAACTTCTATTTTATTTTTAAAAATAGGTATTATAAACAGTAACTCTAGTATTTTTCCCATATTGAAAGCTGAACACATGCCAGTTTAGGAACCACTGTACTGGGTCCCTTGGAGATTCTCTCCAGCCCCCGTGAAGCCTGGGCCAGTGCAGGTTCTGCAGAAGGGCTGGGGGTGTCAGGAGATAAAGGCCCCACCCCTGCTGCAACCATTTGATTTATTTGTATTTTATGCATTAAGCTTTCTGATCCATTTCCATCTGAATGAAGGACCCACAGTGTCACAGACTGATCACGTCCTCCACCTCCCAAATCAGTGGACAGAAAAGGCTTAAATAAAACAGACAAGTGGTGTGATTTTAGGGCTTCAGGAGGATCAAAACCCTACCGCAGAGTTCAAGATTCCCTGGGGGCTGAGACAAAGAACTTATCTGGGAGGCCCATATTTACTTGGTTTTCAAACAAGGAAAGGGTTAGAGTGGAAAACCTGGGAAACAGAGCAGACCCTTGGGAGTCAGTACGAAGACTTCCCTAAGCAGTGAACTGTGCTAATTAGGAGAGTGATGTTAGCTCCAGGTCGACCTTCACGGTAGTGAGACACCTGCAGCTGAGGTCTTTATCTGGTTAATTGGGGTGGGAGCCAGGTGTCCTCAGTTGTGGCCTTGTCTTGTCCTTCGAGGCTTCAGGATATCATAGGCCAGTACAGGCCTCAGCCAGGACCAGCAATTCATAGGGGTTCACTTTCTATGACGCTACTGCCTATCAACAAACAGGGGAAGCAAGCCTGGGGCAGACTCACAGATAAACATAGAGAACCAGCTGATCAAATTTAAATTCTGTTCAGAGCTGCTTTGTAGTGGTCTCCATCACCACAGCTACAACCCGCCCGAAACTGCCTTTGGAGAACCCTACAAACCCAAACCCAACAATTCTGATGAATGGGTTAAACTGAAGACTGGATAGTAGAGTTGCAAAGACAGCATTTTATCACAGAAATAAATATATTGATAGTTAAATTCCTGGGCTTTTAATGTATTCTGCTTTTCTTACCTGAAAAATCCCAGCCTCAAATCTAAAAGAAAAAAAAAGCTTAATCACACATATTACAAAAGATTCGGGCATAGGGAAATGGGTCCTAAATACATTAGTAAAAATACTTCCTGGTTTTTTTTTTTCTTAATTGAGACATTTAGTAGATAGTTTTCAGTATTTTAGAAACTGATCATATTAAAGTCTAGCTTTAAAAAAGGATATGGTTCTTGGAGTATTTCAGTGAGTGTAGCCTTCTTTTGCTTCGGTGTCTTGGAAATGCCCTCTAGTTGATGCATCTTAAGATAATATAGAATCATCGGACTCTGACCGCCAAAATGGAAGAGAACACGGTAAAACTCGGGACCAAGGCTGCTGTAATGGGACTGAAGAAACAGGAAGCCAAGTCAACTATTTTGTATTTTTAAAGAACTGTTAACTTTAATTGCAAGATAAGTAAGATTACTCTTAAATGTACTTAAAATATATAAAAGTGTGTCCTACAGAGCATCATCTTTTCATAGTTGTTGCTTATTTTGTTTTTTCTGATTCACTAGTGCGTACTGATTCTAGAGCTCAGCCGGCCTCATTTTGGCAGGGGTGTGTGTGTGTGTGCACGCACGTGCGTGTCACATCCTGCACTATGTCATTTTCAGCCCTCTACCTCTGTGGTCCTGTGCTCCCCAGTTTCATGCTTTTTAGTTTCAATGTGTGTAATGTATTCTAATCACACTCACACCCATTACCTGTCCTTATGTTCTTCCCCTTATTACCTCCCTTTTCTCGTGACAGTCCCCCTTCTACTGTCTTTTGTCATCTTGTTTAGATTTTACATACTAGAGGGCGCATGCAGAATTTCTCTTTTTGGGTCTGGCAGAGAGCATCTTTTTTTGTATTTTACCAGTAACAGGGATCAAACTCACACCTGGGCACTTGCAAGAGAGACGCATATGCCACTGAGCTAAATCTCCAGCCCTAACAAAGCATCTTCTTAATTAAAGGAGCTGATGAATATGTGTGGCCAGTTTCTTCTATCCATTTGATTTATCATCAAACTTATGTGTTGGTCAGTACAGACTATTCAGTATAATAACGGAATAAAGAGAGGAAATGAACAGAGCCAGAAAAGTTATAAAGATATAGCGGTCAACATTTTCTAAATTTTATGAAAAATATATTCAAGAAGTTCAATGGATTTTAAGTAGGATAAATTCACCATCTCCAAAATGTTTAAAGACAAAGAGAAAAATCTCAGTAGCAACAAGAAACAACTCATCAAATGTAATGGAGTCTCAATACAATAATGGTAACAGCAGACTTACTATCAAAAAATAAATAAGTAAATAAAAAAAAAGGAGGCCAGACACAGTGGGATAATGGAATCATAGATTTGACCAAGAATTCTATGTAAAAAAAAAAATAACTGTATGTACAATTACTCCAGGAGTCTATTATTCCAGTGGGGGATAAGATCACCATAACCAATATTCGTAAAAATAAGTCTTCTTTCCATGTTTGTTATGTTGAAATGAGAGATTTATTATTTAGTCCACTTCTTGTAGGAATATATGATTTTTAATTGTATTTGCTTCTATCATATGTAAACTTCTCTTGAATTTCTTTTGCTTTTTATACTGTAGGTTTTTATTTTATGCATTACATGTGTTTCAGAATTCCTAGTTGATCCAGAATGGTTACAAATAATGGAATAATGGGACTATCATAAGTAAAACTGATTCTTGAAAATTTAATGTCAGTAGCAGACATATTTTCTATAATGTAACTGAGTCTCCTCATCATAATCTATGATAATCCACATCAGACTATACCTAAGCTAATCTTTAAGATATATACAAGTCAGCCCGCCCTAGTTAGAATCTGAAATGTCCCTGAAAGGCTTGGTCACCAGTCTGTGGTGGAACTGTAGGGGTGTGGGGCCTGGTAGGAGGAAGTGAGGGGGGCTGGGTGGATGCGGCTAATGGAAGGAAATGACATCACTGGAGGGCGGGCCTAATGGGAAGAAGTGAGGCCTTGGGAGACAGGCCCTTGAAGGGAATATTGGGAGCCTGAATCCTTAAGTCTTGCTTCTCTCTCTGCTTTCTTCCGCCATGTGTGAACAGTTCTCCTTTGCCATGAATTTCTGCCTTCCCACCAGTACCTGTTTTGCCACAGCCTGAAACAACAGTCCTACTGACCATATACTGCAATCTCTTCTAAGACTTAAAACAAAATCAGTCTTTCTTATTTTTACTTTTTTGTTTTTGTTTTTGAGACAGGATCTCATTTTGTAGTTCAGGCTGGCTTTGAACTCACTATGTGACCCAGGCTGGCCTCAAATTCATGGTGATCTTCCTGCTTCGGCCTTGTGAGTGCTGGGATTATGGGTCTGTGCCCCCACATGTGGTTTAGTCTTTCCTATTTTTAGGTTGACTATCTCAGCTATTTTGTCAGACATGCAAAGTCTGAGCTGACTAACACTCAGTCCAAGCTCAGCTAAAAATTATCTTGCCTGTTTAGAGAGATTTTTGTGACTCTTTTCTTGTGTCTGCCTTGGGTAGTGTAACATAAAAAATTATCTTACTAAAATTCTACACATAAGCATTTTAGTTACTTTTCTGCAGTTGTTGGTTATCAGGGAAACTACAGTTCATGGTTCCTTTCTTTACGAGGATCATGATTTTAAAGTTTCACTCCACCAGGCTAGAGTGGAAAGAAGTACCGAATGTAAGGTCAGTGTTTTGTGAGACAATAGTCATTTTTAGAAATACTTTAATGCAGTTTCACACTGCCCAGGACGCGCCTTGAGACCCTTCTAACCAGTGAACAGAAACCCCAAATGCTTCCTTTCATTCCACGAAAGACATACACAGAGACTTGGTGAGAGCTCTTTAAGATTTCACGATGGAGACTTTTACAGTCCAGAGCTAACAGCAGTAAAGCTGAAGACCTAAGCAACCCCGTAAACGTTGAAGGGGTCACAAAGGATGAACTAGAAGGTCCAAAGCATGGCCCAGGTATCTAACACATCTGTCGGCCTATTAAAGAATAACTGCTGACACTGACTGGAGAGCTAAACGCTGATTTTTGAGGTTCGAATGTGTGTTCTTCAGTGCTCATGTTCAATATCATGGTCAGAGATGGGGGACCCATCAGCACCCTCTTGACATTCAGACAACTCGGGTGCTTTGAAAATTCTTATTTATGTTCAGCTGAAATCGGGCTCCCCATAGCTTTCCGTGTTTGGTACCAGTTATACTTTGTAACCACACAGAAAATATTGAATTCTGGTTTTCTGTGGTAGCTCTCAAGTATTTAAAACAGTATGGCTTCCAGAGTGTTTTCATTACTAACAGAAACGTCTTTGACTATTTGACCTATTGTGTAAGCAGACCCTTCCATCATCTTGTTTTCTGTTGAGAACACTTCTGTTTTTCTGCAATGCTTTTCCAAAGCAGGTTTCCAGAAATGGACATAACATACCAGTCCCTGTCCAATCAGCACAGCCGGACCCTGCACGTGGTGTACTAAACGCCTGCCCCTCTCCCGTGCATATGTTGAAGTCCTCACACCCGGCTTTGGAGTGGGGCCTTCGGAGGTCTCGAGGGCCTCCAGGATGGGGCTGGTGTGACACCAGAGCTCTTTATCTCCACCATGTGAAGTCACAATTAGAAAGAGGCCATGCATGAGCTGTGTGGGCAGCTCTGCTCCTAGATTTTGTATAAATGAGTACGTTGAGAAATACAGTCCTGTTGCCCAAGCTTCTTAGTCTATGGCACTTTTTAAAAAAATGGCACTATTTATGGCCCCCCGAGGTGCATTAGCCAATGGGGGACCTACGATTCAGCGGAATGGAACACTACTAAGAGTGCGGCTTCACCTGGCTCCCTCCTGGAATGGTGCCCTCTGGAGAGGCTGTTCAGTCAGCCCCATGTTCACCCGCCCCTGTTTCTTAGTGCTTGCTGGAGATTAGCTACACATTTCCAAATACCTAAATCTAGCAATCTTGTTCCAAAGAAAATTATGCAATATTGTTATCTATCCTAAATTGATAAGATTATCAGTTTCTATTGTAAGTACTTGCAAAGCGCCCTTGGTTGCATTAGGAAAATTGGAGAAAGGTAGGATTTTATAAAACTGGATTATTAAAGACCAGAAAAATATATGAATACCAATGTTCATAAAATGGACATTATATAGGCATAATTTTTAATTTTAAGTAAAAATTTTTAAAAATTATCAGATATAACTAGGTAAATATGATTACATATTATTAAGAAAGACTGAAGCAGACTTAAAACCTAATTAGCTAACAAAATCGAGAGATTCAGAATTTCAAGCCAGTAAGCTCAGTAATTTTTGCTGTGGGTCTGTGGGGTCTCCACTTGCAAAGCACCCTAAAGAGCATGAAGAAATGCAGCATTTGACTCTAACTGTGCTGTTTTTCTGCATCATGGCTTAACAGCAAGGGCGGGCTGACCACAGTGATACTCTTCGAACACTGTCCCGACTTGATCGCCTACTGAGGTCACAGCCCTGGGAACACGTTAGAAAAACGCTTCCTAAATTAATCCAAGAAGCAGTTTTGTGAGGGAAAGATAATGCCATGGTTTTTCTCCATTGGAGACAGGGACATTTCAGAAGAAGGTAACACTGTAATGTAAGATTAAGATGGGCCCTTCCAGATAAGTCTCTTTCGATCATTACATTTTGTCCCTGAAATGTCTGCTGAGGTGTGGTGGGCAGGACCGCCTGTGCGAAGCTGGCCAGCTCCAAGTGCAGGGAAAGTTACGTGAGAGCTTTTTTCTGGGAACAATCCCCTCCTCACCTTCACTGTTGGCGCCGAAGTGCTGGAGTCCTCCTTGAACGTGGATGTCACCCATGCCCTTGGGTTCTTTAAAATTTTTGTCATATCAAAGTCAATATCTGAAATGCAAAAGGAAATACACAGTCTAGTATGTTTTTTCTTTACAAAAAATCATGCTCCTTTTGTTCTTTCTTTCCGTCTAGCAGTGCACACTAAGATGGTTACAGGTTGGCCCAGTCAAAGGAAGTAGATATTTATTTTCACACTGTTATTAAACAAGGCTTCAGAGTTTATAAAATCCCACCATGCACATCATCTCACGCCATCCTCACAGAAACCATCCCGTGAGCAAGTAACATTTTCCACAGTTTGAAGTCCAGGAAAGTCCATGACTTTTAAGCCACCGTTTGCTCAGGAGCGGAGGCAGTGTACGCATCCAGAGTTCCTGCCGTGACTCCAGTGGAGTCCAGCGTAATGGGAGGCTTGGATGTCTGCACGTCAGAGCCCGCCTGTCCTGTATTCTAACAACACCTCCAGGAAAGGAGGTTTTTTCCAACTTGCGTGAATATGCACGAGGGCCCGGACAGTCACATGACTTAATCAACCGAGTCATGGACCTAGGCACCAGGGAGGCATTAAGTGTCTCTGAACTCAGCAGCGCAGAGAGGGGGGCTGACTAGAGAGGCGGTAGACCGGCCCTGATCAACAGTTGCTCAAGAGACTGCTCAGCTCTGTGCGATGTGAGAGTAAAGAAAGCCTCTCAGGAGTTGAGGGAAGTCACTTGACCCTCTTTCTGACATTACATATAAAGAAATATTAGACACTAGCCTGAAATATTAAGGGCAGATTGAAGAACTGGTTAGCAAAGAAATTATATTCTAAATTTTAAGGGGAGACAGTAAGTGGGAATTGGATGATAAATCATATAGTTTTAAATGCTTTGCCCAACTTTGAATCATTCTTAAATACAAATTTATGTAATATTAACTTCTGGTCTAATAAAGGAACCTCTAAATCATGCCTATGACGGCCCCAGTGAGAAGTTTACTTTTTAGACCACCTGATGTTGGTTTTATAATTACGGTTTTATAATAACATCAGGTAAAGAAGAACCTAAGCTGGGTACAGTTGGTGACAATAGGAAGTGAAAGCCAGGCGGCACACATGGAAATTCACAGATGAGAAGATTCAAAGAAACGGGCAACGCCCTCCACCCCACAAAACTTCACACCCCGTTTAGGTACAAGAGTAATCGATAATATTAAAATGACCATCTCATTCCCGTTTCCGCTTGAATCCATTGATTCATTTTAGGGAAAAGGTTGCATTTTCCTGTGCTCTCTGCTCTCAGTGTCTGTGCAAGCTAAGGAAGGCTGCCTAGTTGAACTGCAAGAAACTGTTTCTTCATGTTTTTATTAAGGCTTTGCAAACTTGCCAGTGGAAAAAATATCAAGTATTGTTCCACTTACACTGGGAAAGTTTTATTTAAATAAAGTTATCCTGCTTATTTTAGGAATTTTATTTCCCTTATAAAAGAGACATTTATGCAGCTAAGAATGGTCCTCTTGCTCTACTCTTGTAGTTTTTAATAGACTTTCTGAAATGCAAATAAATCATATGATAATCCAAGGTAAAGTAGGTCATACACAATAATATGGTAATTGAATGTGGAAACTGAAATAGCATTACTCACAGGTCTAGAAAATAGCATTACTCTAGTCTAGAATATACCTAATTTGAATAAAAACTACTCTCACAAAGAGAAGTTCATGTAGCACTGAAATGCAATGGGAAATAAAGGAAAGAGGAAGCTCAGCTGGCCAGTAAGCGAAATGTATCTGATCTAAGCAAATGAGAAATACAATTTTCTCTTAGCAATACAAGAAAAAGATGAGTATGTCACAGAAAATATTGCATGGTGACGAGTATATTCTTACTGCTTACTCTATCAATTTTCCTGTGCTTCCTTGCTTTTTCCCAGCCCCTTATTGTAACATCCACCTCCCAAATCTCCCAATGTCACCCTCTGCAGGCCCAGTCATTGGTTCCTGTGCTGCGTTAGACCTGGAGAGGACCACCCGTCTCTATAGCAATGTACAGAGCATCCTGTATCTCTGTATTCAACTGCTGGTTTAAATGTGCAAACAAAGCATGAGGGGCTCACAGTGCTACAGAGTGAAATTAGACCGCTTCTCCTAGTGAGAGATGCTAACATGAGACGGATTTGTGAATAACTTTCCGCGGAGATGATAAAGGGAAGGGCTGTGATGTGCTGCGTATATGCAAGGTGTCACCAGGACACTATGTTGACTTTCACTAGCTTGAAACTGAACTTAGTATCTGCAGCAACACGAAGCTCTTGTGTTACGATAAAACAGTGACCTGGATCATATTTGCTTCCCAGGAAAAGTGCCATTTTATTTTATTGTGACATTTTGGGTGGCTTCCTTCTTCCTGTCATTTCTTATGAGCTATACTGAATCTTGAAGGACTAATTTGTTTTTCAGATGAGTAATAGATAACGAGAAACAAGTGATTAGCTTTCTGAGTATCTCCAGAGTTTTTGTGTAAAGAACAAAGCAACCAGTCTCTGACTAAGAAACTAGATATTGATGAAGGAAACTCTGGAGCCAAACACGGCAAATGAACCATCGAACAAATTAAGATTCGATCAAAGGTGGTGGTGAGGAATACTGCTGATCTTTTAAAAATCATTTCTATAGTGGAAAGCTTTTTAAAAACATTTTAAACCACTAAGTGGATGCTGAAGCAAAAAACAGGATTGTATGTCTAACACACACTTTTAAGAATCCAAGTTGCTTCCTTTTTAAGGAAATTAATAGAAAAGACCCTGACATGTATGTTGCGATACAGGTGGTTTTTTTTTTTTTTTTTTAAAAGGAAGAAAGGTTTATTTTGGCTTATGTGGAATACAAATTTCTAATAACCTTAAGATTATACCATTATTCTGGTAAACTTTTCCAGAATCTTGATTAAAGAAAAGCAACCAGTGCTTTGTGGAACTGCCAACCAAGATCAAACAGAATGGGAATTACCAATGGGACTAAGTGAACTGATGAAGACAATGTTGTTATGAACTTTGATTCGAAATTTTGTTGGTTCTTACTATTTTAATTTCCAGATCTAAAAATTTCTATACAGCTTACACCAATTTAGTAAATTATTCAGAATCTAAATGCTTTTTCTCCATGCCTCGCCCATCAGGGATAGGAAGCCATCAATGAACAGTCATATTTTATGGCAACACATTTGTTTCCGTGTTTTATATGAGGATCTGGCTTCTCTGTAGCTGGACAGGACTGGAATGTGGAATGACTGAGTATATTAACAGGCTCTGTGGCCAGAGATTATAGCTCAGCAGCCCAGCACCTGTCTGGAGCATGAGGTCATGAGTTCGATTCCCAGTACAAAAAAAAAACCCAAAAAACCCAAAACTAGAAAAAAGTGTGAAATTGTGAGTTTGATTTCCAGGGGGGAAAAAACAAAACAAAAACACCAAAAACAAAAACCACCATCAACAACAAAAAAATGCCCCTCCAAAACCAGAAACAAACAAAACAAAACAAACCAGGCCCTGATAGAACCGTCATATTTTCAGATATGAGTCGTCAGTTTTTCTTTTGCGCCGGTGCTGGGGACTTAACCCAGCACCTTGCACATGCCTGGCAAGTGCTACCCTGCCCAGCTAGCTCTCCGGACCCGAGCAGACAGCTTTCGAGGATTAAGATCCACTTTAGGCAGCCCATAAACTGGCCTGGAACCTTGAATACTTGTTTCCTGTACAGGTTTCCCAGCCTCCTTCCTGACCAGCTCAGTAACCTGGAGTCAGGCTGCAAGTTTCCAAACCCATGTTTCCAATTTCCTGTCACCTTTCTGACTTGGACTGAATCAAAAGTTGTGTTTTTGGTGAAATGCAGCAGGCTGAAGCTACACGACTCGAGGGAGAGTTTGGGGAAGTCACCCCACAGTGACAGGAAGGCCTGTCAGGCCACCTCTGCCTTGTCCTGGTCCACAAGAGCGTGCTTTGAACCCAGCATCCAGAAATTTTTCAGCTGGCTGCATTCCAGACTCAGAAGTCCGCTTACAGCCTACTCCAAATATTAACTTTTTTTTCTTTTGTTGCTATAGAAATGCTTCTTGTTAAGTATCTGTTTGCTTACACTATCTAAAAGTGAAATTAAAAGCATTTTTTGATGACCTTTGGTTAACCTGTATTAATAGTACACATTAATGGGCGTCAGGGTGACTTTCAATATATGCAAATTGCTCATGCATATTCATATGGATAGGTACTGATCAAACCTGCCTCCCGTCATTCCAGCCTTCCTGGCCAGCTGCTAGCAGCCACTATTTGACATGCAGGTCAAGTTTTAAACACTTACCTACACGAAAAGCACACACAGAACTTGTCTTTGTGTGTCTGGCTCATTTCAATTAACATAAGGTCCTCTAGCTCCATCTATTTATTGCAAATGACAGGATTTCAGTTTTCTTAGTGGCTAAGTAATATTCCATTGTCTACACATAGCACATTTTTTTTTTATCCATTCATTTGTGGATGGGCACCTGGGTTGATTCCTTATCTTAGGCATTCCTGTTGGAGATATGCCTAGAAGTGTGTAGCCGAGATGCTGTGGGAGATCTACCCTTAGCTTTCTGAGGAAATTCCGTATTGTTCTCTATAATGGGCATCCTAATTTACATCCCACCAATGTGTGTGGGAGTTTTTCTCTACATCCTCACCAACACTTTCTACTTATTTTTATAATAATCATCCAACTGTGATAAGGATGTATCTTAAGGTAGTTTCGATTTACATTTCTTTGATGGCGAATGATCAAGTACTTTTGCATAAATTTATTGCCATGCGTATTTGTTCTTTTGAGAAGTGTTTATTCGAACCATTGGTCCATTTTAAATTGGATTACTTTAAGTTTTTTGTTACTTATATAACCTAGCTATTATCCTTATGGGATGGGGAATATTTTCTCCTATTCTATAGGTTGTTTGTACTCTGCTGATTTTCTTCTTTGCTGTGAAGTGTTTTAATTTGATGCAATTCAATTAGTCTATATTTGCTTTTGCTTTCTATGTTTTT